CTTTTTTCAAACTTTTTTTTTTTACTACAAAAATAATTCATACTTTTATGAGATAACTGGAAATTACCTACTGGACACTTGATGATACTAAAGAATTATTGTTTGCTTGTTTGTTTAAGGTGTGATAATGTTATTGTGGTCACTTTTTAAAAACAGTCCTTGTCTTTTAGAGACACACATTAAAGTATTTATAGAAGAAATGATACAAGTTGGGGATTTGCTTCAATGCAACGTGGGAGAGTAGGGGCAGGAGGAGGTATGCTGAGATGGGATTCATGACAATGGGTTGATGACTGTTGAAGCAGGGATGGGTACGTTGACTTCCCCACATGACTCTTATTAGCAAAAAATAAAGTTTGTTAAAATTTTTTTCACATGACATAAATCTCCAACTTAGATGAGAGTTCCCATTCTTTGACCACCCATGGTTAATTACAACAGTTTGGTGGATATGCCTCTAGACTCTTTCCATGCAAATATGAACTATGTATATTGTAGATACATATATACTTAGAACAGGAATGAGCTACCACTATACAGTCCGTATTTTTCAGTCAGTTGGCCTCTTCAACACTCTCTCATTCTGGACAGCCTCATGGCATTTCCCTGTATCAAAGAACCTGGAATTTATTTATCTGATCTTCTAATGGTGGACAGCTGGCATGTCTCCAATCTTCTGCTCTTCAGAACAATGATGCAGTGGATATCCTTTATACATAACATACCCTTGTATACCCATGTGAGCAGTTCTACAACCTATCTTTTTAGAAGGAGAATCACTAGATACAAAAGTATGCATATTTAAAATTTTAGTAGAATGGCTAAATCGCCCTTGTGGTGGACTTTGTATATCCACTGAATGTCATTCTCTCCCAGTACATATCTGAGTGCTATTGTCATTTGGTGCCAGTACTGGGAAATGTCATGTAGTCAGAGACGGAAGGGGCCTCCAAGATCTTCTGATCTTGCTTCACAGGGCAGCCATCTAAACCTTAGGGAAGGGCGCAGGGCCCAGGTTTCCCAGTCCAGCAGCACCTTTGCTAAGGTGGTGGTTATTAAAATGCTGTCCACATCAGAGTCCAGGCTTGTCATTTACTGGTTGTATGACCTCTAATAAGGTTCTTGTCTTCTATGTGCCTCAGTTTCCTCATCTGTAAACTGAGACTAGTACTAATCCTAGGTGGCAATTGGACAGGCCTAGGAGGCTTTTCTCAAAACTGCATTTGTACTAATTTAATTAAAAGAGATGTTCATTTTGGGGTGGCCTGGCGAGGCTATGAGGATTAGGGAGGGAGGGCCCCCATCAGGCACCACCTGGTACTGCAGAGCTGACTTTAAATGGTGATGGTTGGATTTTGTTGCATTATATGTAATGGATCCTCAGTACCCAGCCCAGAGCCTAGCACACTGTCAGTGCTCCATGGCCATGGAATTCCCTAAGAGGGGACATGATATCTGACAGGGGCTAGACCAGAAGCAGGAAGACCAACCTTTCTGAGAGACTGGCCAGAATATGGAGGCCCAAGCAACAGAGGAAGAGTAGACCCAAGAGAGGTGGCCAAATCTGGCCCATTATTTGTTATTATAAATAAAGTTTTTTTGGAACACAGCCACATTCATTCACTTATGTATTTTCTATGAGTGGCTCCATATGATAATAGCACAGTTGAGTAGTTGCAACAGAGACCATATGGCCTGTAAAACCTAAAATATTTAGAATCTGGCTCTTTGCAAAAATATTTTGTCAAGCCCAGCATAGAGTTATTGACATAATAATAAATGCTGATAATTTTTGAGCACTTTCTAAGCTTCAGATATCATCCTAAACTTTTCATGTATAGTAATGTATTTAGTTCCCCTAATGACCCTATGAAGTAGATGTTGTCTGTGGTGGCTAGTCTCAAAGATGGCCCCAGTGAGCCACATCTCCTGGGGTTCATGCCCTTGTGTGGTCCCCTCCCACCCTGAGTCTTGGGTAGTTTGTGCTAAATAGAAGGCAGAAGCAGAAGTGGTGGTGCACCAGCGCCATGCCTGCCTTTAAGACGACTGTTAGCTTGTTTCCCCCTCACTTGGAACACTGAGGGGAAGCTTGAGATGCCACTTAAGAGACTCTGGGAGAGGCAGGAGGGAAAAGAGAGGCTCTGAGCCCATAAGGGGAGGGAGTGGGCCAGGTGGGCTGACTGTGGCTGAGCTTCCCGAGGGCCCAGCCTGGTCACCTGACTGTACTCCGAACTCATGAAAGACCCCCAGGCAAGGACAGCAGAACTGCTCCTGAGCCCAGTCAATGCATGGAACCATCAGAGGCAATAAGATGGTTAGGCCACACTAGCTAAGTAGGGGTTGGTGGATTTAGGTAGCACTAGCCACCTTTACCAGGACCATCCCAGGTCTGTCTGACCACAGTCTTTTCTTTCCACTCTCCCTCAGCCAGTGGTCTGTGTACCTGCATGGACATTAGAATCCTCCCCAGGAGCCATTCCAGGTGCTGATTAAATCAGAATATTTAGGAATGGGAGCCTGCCATAGGTATTTTTTAAATCCTGAGGAGAGAACCATGTCTCCATTCACTGTTTCCAAAACTTGCCTGAAGATAAGAAGTGCTTCACACACTTCTTTAAAAAACAGATTCCTGAGCTCCAACAGATAGACTGATTCAGAATTTCCATGGGAGGGCCCTGGTAATCTGTAGAGGCAACACATTCCCTGAGGTAAATCTCCTTAGTGGTTTTAGAAGAGAAAGGGCTAGAAGAGAGCCAGCGCCCAGGCTGGGAGAGCTGTATGGTGGTTATGTCAAGTTAAACATATGCTCACCAAATAGCCCTGCTAACCCCTCTTGGGTGTTCCCACCAAAGCAAGGACTTTTGTCTGCCAAAGACATGCACAAGGGTGTACCTAAGATCTTTGTTCATAATGGCCTAAACTGGAAACATCCCACAGGTCATTCATGGGAGCTAGATGAACTATTACACCCACACCATGGACTACACAGCAGCAGTGAAAAAGCACGAATACATGCAAAGGATGAATCTTACAGACCTATTGTGAGTGAGCAAAGCCAGCCACAGAGAGAGCAGATTCTACTTCTACACAGTTCAAGGACAGAACAGACTACTCTGTAGCAACGGAGTTCAAGCAGTGGTTATGTGTGTGCGTGCATGTGTGTGCATGCCTGTGCATGTGTGTTAAGCTCTGGCTCTGTTCCCTCACAGGATGCCATCAGGTGCACAGAGTTTGGGGCCCACTTGGGGGCCTTTGTTTGCTTGCTTTTTTGTGTACTCCTTATTTGAAACATAGATTACACACTGAGATGTATACAATAAAGTGAGTAAATCTTAAGTGTGGGGCCCAGTGAATGGTTACATGTTTAAGCTGAGTTTTTGACTTTGTGAAGTGCTGTTCTAGACTCCTAGAAATGGAACTCAGGGCTGTAAGATATGGACCCTGTTTGTGTGGGTCTTTATAATCTGGTGTGGGAGATATGACCAAACAAGATGGAATAGTAAGTTTCCATGCATTCCCTCAGCATGTACTTTCTGAGCACCTCCTATGTGCCAGGCACTGAAGTTGGAAGGGGAAATGCAACAGTGACCAAGATCCAGCCCTGCCCTCAGGGTGCTCACAGTCTAGTTAAGTTTTGGAGAGCAGAATGAATGGTTAAATACACCTATTCCAACACCTAAATACTTGCCAACTTCATTCTGGTTTCTCCTCCAGACCCTGTGCTACAGCAGGCCCCTACCTTCTTTACTCTCTGGACTCTTGTCATAGTTTTCCGATCAGTTGCCTTTCCAGCTCCCACCTCTGATTCCTTCTCCAGGCCAACAGCTCTTACTTATGGGCTTAATCTAAAAAATTCAGTTAATGGTTCCACGTTGCTCAGGTAGCTCTGGTATTGGCCTGTATGGACCTGAATCCTCACTTAGAGGGTCAACAGTGTGACCACAGGCAAGTTCTTAAATGCTGTGAGCCTCTGTAAAATGGAGACAAAATAATAACAATGATCATCACCACCACCACCACCTATCTCTCTGAGGAGGTTGAATTTTAATCTGCCATAACAGGTTTCCATGTGCTAAATCTTTGTATGCATCACCTCTTTACAACTCCCATCGCTCTTAACTGTGCTTGTTACCATCCCCTTTCTGTGCTACCCAGTAATATCCAGGGGCTTGTGTTCACAGGCACACCCTTTGCTTTCAAGGCCCTGAGTCTCTGCTCATTGTGCTCCTTCCATCTGGAGTCTCCCCTCTACTTTCTCCTGGCTGGGTCTTACTCAGCTCAGGACTCTGCCCAGATACTGTCTCCCGCAAGGGGCCCTCCCTGAAGCTGCATACTGAGGTAGATGCCCTCATCCAGACACTCACAACACCCTGGATTGAATTTGTCTGCCTCCTGTTTCTGTCTTCACTTGCTCAAGTATGACCTCCTTCCAAGCAGGCCTAAATCAAAAGCTTCTTTATACCCCCAGCTGTGGACCCTTCCCGTTTAAGGCAGGTGCTGGATGTGTCCACTGACTTGAGCAGAACATGCCAAACATTTTCTTAAGAGAAGTGGCCTTTGGGTTGGCCTTGAGGCCTGGGTAGAATTAAAAATACATATTTTAAATCAAGTTGTACATGTACACAATAACAAATCCAAAAGGAACAAAAGGGCTTACAGTGAAAATTAAAAGTAGGTCACCTCTCATCCACCCAGCTCCCCTCCCCAGAGGCCACCATTGGTATCAGTTTCTAAGTATTCTCTGCAGGCAAGAGTTGTCTGTCTCCCCCCTACACACAGACGTTTTTATTCTGCAAAAATTTAAGCCAACAGAAAAGTTGCAAGAATCATACAATAAACACTTTGCCTAGACTCACCAATTAGCATTTGCCACATTATGCTAAATACTTTCCAAGGACTGTAACATGCAATGCTCACAACAACCATACTATCATGCCAGTTTTGCAGATGAAGTAATTCAGGCAGAAGGCTGGTGGAGGGATTTGCCCACCGCCACTGACCTGGTGAGGGGTGGAGCTGGGCTTCTGCCTTAGGCTCTGCAGGACTGTGATCACCTTCCTTCAGCTCCCTTTGGACGAAAGCATTTTCTTACACTAAATTGAAATCCACCTCCCTGGGATATTCACCAGATTATCAGTGGAAAAGTACACAGCTCTGGAAGCATTTTCTGTGACTCCTAAAACCTTCCCATTCCTGAACAACAGCTGTTGTCACTGCCGCTAACACATCCTTCAATGTCACCTCCTCTGTGCAGGCTGAGTTAGCTCACCGGCCTGTTTAAAAACTCCCCTCCTAGACTCCAAGCTGCCAGCAGGATGACATTTACACGCCCGAGCTTGGATCCAAGGCCCTGAGTGATCTGGCCCTCATGAATCCCTTTGGCTTCACCCGCCAGGCTCCTTCCTCCTCCACCCCCACCTCCACCGCCCCCCATCGCCCACGATCTGCTTCAATCTCCCTTCCTCCTCGAAGCCGCCCTAATTTTCCCTGAGTGCACTTCCCCCTCTCCGGGCCCCTGAGCCTCTCCTGTGCCTCCAGTACAGTCTCCTCCGGGTGGTCTTTTGGCCTTGAGCCTGGACAGCGGTGCACTGGAGCTACAGTTCTGCCCCTCCGTGAGGAGCAACCCTGCAGTTTATCACTTCAGTCGTCTAAGCCTTAATTTTCTCAAGCACTAGTGGGGAAAGAATGCATAGCTCAGTACCTGGCCAGGGTCAGCCTTCCCTAATCTCCCATAATAGGACTGACAGCTCTTTGGGCTGACATCTTCTTAGTCATCCCTTGAAACCCTACGTCCTGTTTCTTAACTTGTCAGCGCCTCGATTTCCTCCTAAGTAAAATGGGGATGACAATGGAAAGGCTGTTGAACTTTCATGAGCTAATGCCTATCTGGCCCTTATTAATAATTGTAACTACGACTACCGCGACGGGGGCTTGGCGCACAGTAGGTTTTAAGCTGATCTTCTCAGAGATGGGCTTGGGGTACAGAACCGGCGCAGGAAGGCGAGACTTCAGTGGGAAGTTTGGGGACAGCCGGCCCGGAGGTCGGCTCCACGGAGTCCCCGCAGCCCGCGCCGAGCCGGGCCGGCTGTCCGTACTCGGCCAGCCTCGGCGCCAGTCCACCAAACCTGAACGTCCCACCCCCTCGCGCCCACCTTCCTTCCCCTACACAAGATACCTTGTGCCGGGCGGCCCCTCGGCCCCGCCCCCGATTCCCATTGGCCGATGAGTTTCTTTGTTAGGGGGAGCGCGCTTCTGCCACTGGCCGGCCGGGCTGCCGATCGCGTCGGAGCGCGGCCCCGCCCCGCGCGGCCCTTACCGCTCTGCCTCCCGGTCCGCCGCCGCCCGCCCGCCCCGGGAGTACGCGAGGCGCTCCGCTACCATTTCCTGCGGACGCTGGGCGCCGAAGGCAGCGGCGGCGGCGGGGACCGACGCCGGGGACCGGGCGGCGACCCGGCGCCTGAGCGGCGGGCGGGAGTTCGAGGAGGCAGCGGGCCCGGGAGGCCGCGTCCATGGGCCCGCGGCAGCCGGGCAGCGGCTGTGCGGGCGGGCGGCCGGGACCGCGCGCTCTGTGAGGGCCCGGGGCGCGGGGCCGGCGCCGAGGTGCCCGGGCGCGCCGTGCAAGGAGAGGCCAGCCCGCATCCCGGCGCTCGCGAGGCCGCCCTGACCGCCGGGGGAGCGCTTTGGCCGCGGCCGGGCCTGCGTCCACCGCCCGGCTGTGAGGCGGCCGGCCGGCGGAGGCATGCCGCGGCGCCCGTGCTGAGCCCGGCCTGAGCCCGCCCAAGCCGGCCGTGCATGGTGCCGCCGCACGGCCATCCGCCGTCCGCCATCCGCCGCGGAGCGCGCGCCTGCCGCCGCCGGGCCTGCGCCGCCGCCGCGCGACCATGTCGGCGGCCAAGGAGAACCCGTGCAGGAAATTCCAGGCCAACATCTTCAACAAGAGCAAGTGTCAGAACTGCTTCAAGCCTCGCGAGTCACATCTGCTCAACGATGAGGACTTGACGCAGGTGAGCAGATGGGGGTCCCGGTCCCGGCGTGGCCGCCAACCCCGGGTCCTCTTGCGGCTGCAAGCTCCAGGGCGCACCGACGCCAGGTGTTGCAACGAGCCGGTGGGGCTGGCGAAGGTGCCTCGCGGCGGGGCGCCGGGCTCCTCCCTCAGTTACAACGCCCGTGAGACCACCGTCTGCTAACGGAAAAGGGAGCGGACGTTGCCCAGTTCCGAGGCCGGCGGGGTGGGGTGCATCCGAAGGTTCCTGGGGAAAATAAAAACGGAGCAGAAAAACTAGTGCCCGTGTTGGGGGGGGGGGGAGGATGGAGATGGGGGGAGTGTATAGACAGACTCCGGACAAAGGGAAAACCCTCAAGTATGCCGAAAAATAACATCCTTTCCCGTTCCCAAAGCCTTGCCGTGTGATTCATGCTTTTTGGGTGACTCAAAAATGCCTGGTGTTTCTCCGTGGAAACAAATCACTTTGGGGATTGCTTGCTGCCTTGCAGGACCCTCCTCACAGTCTGTTTTAGGACCATAGACTTGTCCACCCAGAATGGTCTGTGTTGGACTAGGGCCTCCCTTCTGATCAGACCCAGCTTTACCTTTTTCTAAATCATTTTCACTGTCTGACTGGAGAGAGGTGAGGGTCCTGAAGTCCGAGGAGGAGGACCATACTCTTGAACTTAAACTGGAGGGCTTTTTGTTGAGGGGAGAACTGGGGGCTCCTCTCCTCACCTTACCCTCCCAGCTCTCTGGTCGCTGGGCAAGAACTGAAGAGACCTGTGGGTCCTCCTGGAAGTAAGGTCACTTCCTCAGCCTTCTGTCACAGGAGGGCTTTGGACTACTTTAACAGCTCCTAAACCTGCATCAGAGTCACAGTCTTTAAAAATACAGAATACTGGGACCCTAGCCATGGAGTGATTTAGGAGATGAGAGAATTAATATTGGTAACAGCTCCCTAAGAAGCTGGTCTGCAACCCTACTGGCCTCTGGGAACCCCTGCCCTCCTTACTGTCCGAGCTCCCAGTGTTCCAAGATTCTCTGGAACACTTGGGAGGGCTTTGAGACATGCAGATTCCTTGGATTTCCTGACCAAGCCTTGTTCTGTCTTCTTGGGATGTGTCTGTGGACCCTCCTTGCCCTCTCCCCAAGTCTCCACCCTCTTCATAGCTCTCTCTATCCCCCCAGTGAGGCCAGGGGAGCTCCCTTTGCATTCCGGTACAGTGGAACCTAGTTGTAGCCACTCCTGCAGAAGAACCCCTTAGATGGTAAACACTGCTTTGAAGTGTATGGGCCTGGCTGCTTTGCATGGTGCTTAAGTGCTCACAGGGTTTGACTTGTTTACACGGCAGACCAGAGTGGGGCGGCAGGGCAGCGGTTATGGCCTGGGATATGGTGCCTTCTGTGGAGGTCAGGTTCCCAACAACCAGGAAGAGACTCCTTTCATCTAAAACCAAAATCTTAACCAAACACTCAGGGCTGCAGAGTCACAGATTGTTAGGACTGGAGGGCCAGGTCAGCTTGGGAAGGGTGGAACAGTTTCTTGGTGTTCTGGGGTGTGGGGTGGGCTTTTATGGGAGATTCCCTCTTCTCAGTTGAATGAATGCCTTTTGCTGGGAAGCAGTTTATATGGTGATGAAAGTCCTTCAGGAGCCAGGAGACCTTGCTTCTAGTCTTGGCTGTCACTTTCAGCTGTGTGACCTTGAATAAGTCACTCTGCCTGTATAGTTTGATTTCCTTTTCTGTGAATTGGGAGTAGGGATCCCTGGCTTACCTCTCTCACTAGGCTGTTAGGAACAGCAAGGATTGGTATCCTATAAAACTCTTTTCTCTTACAATTTAAAAAACAAACACAAAAATCACCTACAGAATAGTAAACTTGGATTTAGGAAGTTTCTGGGCTTGGCAGGGTTGTTCTGAGAGTTTCCTGGTTATTCAAAGCAACTGCCAAAATTGGTAAATTGGATATTTATACCTCATAGGGCCTGTTTTCTGATTCCTAAGCTTAGCTAAAAAGTAGAGTAGAATCTGCATATTTGTATTAAATCTGTTACAATTTTAAAAACTGCTGATTAATTGGATTGAGGGGTTATCACAAATTAAAATACTTTATTACTCTTTCACCATATTCACAGTTGAATTGTGGGTCTTGAAACAGGCCTGAGCCCTCCAGGGCAAGAATGGTAGTTTTTGAAATAATTGAGTGGGGTTATTTGTGCCAGGAGAGCTTAGGCCGGCCTTCTGCCTCCTGGGATCTTCAGGAAGAAACTGCTCTTGAAAAGAGGGGGGAGATTTGGGGCTGTTGCCAGCAGCCTTAGCTGCTGCTCTCTGCATCTGGTCCTCCCCCAGCCTCTTACTCTCATCCTTATGGCTCCATTAGAAAACCTCAGCCAATCGGTTCCCATCAGTCTCCCCCAAGTCCCTGCTTCCGGCTGTTCCTCCCTGCCCTGTCAAGGCTGGAGGATAGATCAGTGATCATGAGGCCAGCCACTCATTAAGGCATGCACACATAAGTACTCAAATACACAGTTTAAACTTTTTTTAACCTAAAATATGTGCATATTTCCTCTGCAATATAGTTTTTTTCTGCTTAATGACATGTTTTACAGCTCTTCATGGTATTACATATACCAAAATTGTTTTGCGTATTGTACCACTAGGACTGTACCATAGTTTATTCCTTTATTGATGAACAGTAAGCTTATTTCCAGGTTTTGCTGTTATAAACAGTAAAGCAAACAGCTTTCTAAATGCTTTTGGGTGTGTGTGTTTGCGTGCACAAATGCAAGTATTTCTCTGGGGGCAGATACCTAAAAATAGAATGGCTGGGTTGACATCAAGCACATTACATTTTTTTACAGATATCACCAAATTGCCTTCCAAAAAAGGCTGTGTCATACCATTGCCAGGGTTGGATATTATTGAATGATTTAATTCTTCAATAATTTCCCTGATTACCAGTGAGGTTAACCTCTTCTTTGAATATGTTTTATTCTTTTGTGGATTGCCTGTGCTTGTGTATAGTTTGCCTGCTTTACTATTGAATTATTTTCCTCCCTTTGATATGTGGGAGCTTTCTATAGATACTCTAGGTCAGAAGTCTACAGACTTTTTCTGTAAAAGGCCAGGTAGAAAATATTTAGCCTTATGACCCATATGATCTTTAAAGTGGCAGCTGTGCAACTTGTCATTATAGCTCAAAGCTGCTGTGCAAAGGCACTGTAGACAATTTAAAATAGTGGGTATGGCTGTTTCCAGTAAAACTATATTTACAAAGACAGGCAGAATTTGTTCTGTGAACCACAGTTTGCCAACCCTGCTCTAGATATTAATCTGACACCTGCAGGTATTTTTTCCCAGGGTGCCACTTGTCTTTTAATTTTATGCAT